ATGTTGTTGATCAATTTAAATCATCCAGTGTGGGTTATTTTCCGCCCAGTAATGGCTGTTATGCAAATTTACCTTACCGGTACTGGTGAACGTTGCCTCATCGGTCCATAAAATACTGGACAAAAAATTTGGATTTTCTGTTAACATATTACGCATTCATTCGCAGAATTCCAGCCTTCTGTCAAAATCTAAAGCTGTCAGTGCTTGATGCAGTTGAACATGATACGGATGCATTTTGTGATCTTTTAAAATACGTTGGATTGTTGATCTTGATACACCCAAATCTCTTGACATGTCTCTGATACTGGAGTGAGGATGTGCTTCAACGTAAGCAAGAACATTAATTATGTTATCTTCGTTTCTTGCTTTTCGACGTCTATTGGTCGGTGGTATTGGCAAAACACTTCCGGTTTCCCTTAAGCGTCGAGACAGGCGAAGAAATACCATTCGGGAATGTGGCCTTCGTTCTGGATATACCAAACTGTATTCTCGCGAGGCAATCACTGGATTTTCAAAACTTCGAAAAAATATTGCAATATGCTTCTGCAACAGTGTAAGACATTATTTAACAAAAAAAGGTTTTTTGATAATTAAACACTAAAATCTTAGCATAAGATTGTTCAACGGCAAAATGTTGACAGATTTCATCATCTCCTTGACAGATTTGCCATTTATTTTGTATTTATAGCCTTCTTGATATTGAAAAAATATGCATTTATTACGCTCGTAATCTTATAAACACATTTTTATTCATAACTTTTGTTTAAAATACACTAGAGACTTCCGGTTTGCGGCATTCTTTTCTAAATCTATTGCAGAATAAGACACTTTATTAAAATATATGTCATTACATTTAAAATTTTTAAGAAATCATCAATAATTGGTGACAATTACAAAAAGCGACATCTGGTGGTTTGTTGAGGAATTTGCCAGAATATTTAAAATCGTATTCTTATTCTACCTTGAATTACCTATCAAACGATCAAAAGTTTATTTGAATCGGATAAGACAAACCGAAGTTATGGTGATTTTTGTATACCGTTTTTCTTTTGTTTTTGTTGTCGTTGTTTGAAGAGTTAGAACAAAAAGTGTTATACAAAAGTTTTAGGTATTGACTAGGATATGCAGAATACTTTGAAAAATACCTACGTTTGTATTTGACTTCTTCAAGAAAAATGAGTTTTTAAATTTTCAATCTGTATAACGCCACCTAGCGGTCATTTTAGGAACTTGAAACTATTTTAGTTGAATTTTTCTTGACTGCTTTACACAAGATAGTTTTTTTCCTAAAACTGTGGGACCAATAGTTTCTGAGATAAAGCCGGTCGATAGGCTTAATGGGACACCCGGTATATTTCTTCACCCACACCAAACGATATTATTTCAAAATACTTGTTTTTATAGTAACCAAATAAATAGAAATCTTTTATTGATGATGAAAAAAATCTGTTGTTCGCTAATATAATTCTATGTCTTCATTCCAGAAGAATTGCTTATTGATTCATTGAATATCCTGATGGTGTATAACCACCACTCGTTGATCACCCCGAGGTGGCGTTTCTGAGCCTTATATCAATAACAGTAACAGTTATAGGTATATACCTACCTGACCAAACTATTTGATCAGGTCGTCTGCCATTTTTTTCATTCGTGATGTACCGTCATAAAATTATCCCAAGAAGCTGATTGTAGACGTAAATATATACATGTCCAAATGTAAACAAACCCGGCGCACTGTCATATGGGGGATTGAACTAATATAACTATTACACTTCATACAAATCAACGATTTCATGAAGATGCTCACGCTATACACAGTAAAATAATTTGAGACAATTTTAACACTATATACCTGTTTCCAGAAGGGACCACTAAGCTTTAGAGTAAATGATTCAACTCCCTAGTTTTGTATATATTAATGTGATTTTTTTCAATTCAATTGGTGTAAATTTTCTATGCAAGCACATTGAGACTTACTCTATTTATTTCTCTGAATATATTGAATGAACACAAAAATAGAGTTGAAAGAAACAATTTCGAAAGTGAACATTCCACTCAAGACCCAAGCTAGTGTCAATATCATCACCTTGGAGTGAAATTCAATAACCGAATATTATATAGTCACAAAGGTTGAGAGTTGGGAATATAATTGTACAAAGTAGATTTCACACTATAAACAGTATCGGATCCACCAGAAATTGATTGAATTGATTACTCTATACGTGGATGTCAAATGGCTCCTGCATTGTTCAAATTGACACCACTTTTTGTTTAGGTGCGCTAATAAGGAGTTATCCTTTGTTCATCATTTCAGATTGATATAAAACACTAGTTGAGAGAACTAGTTACTACTTACTGTTGGGATTTCATCCCAGTTAGATTAATCACCTGCATGCAGTGGCGCGAATTGACGGATGAGAAGTAGTGTGACTTTATTATATTTTAATCGTTTGATATTTGAAAAATGACTCGCGTTCCACTAGACTAATTAGTTAACCTATCTGTGTCCTGAATTATTCGTAAATAATTCTAAACGAGAAAAACAGTCAATAACTGGATAGGTTGGTATATACGGAAATACGTTAATAACTCAATGTTGCAAAAAATTTCTCACTATACGCGGGTAGAGCAAAAAAGCTACTTGATGAAGCTAATATCATGATCATTATGTCATCGACACTATAATCAGTATAACATATTTTTAATTATGCTAAACGATCTGGACCTGTATTATAGATTTCATCGTTTAGGTATAGATTGAATTGAACAATGATAGAGTGTTAATTTGATCGACAAGTTCACTACTGTCAGTAAACACTAGTATGAATTCAATTTCAATTGTTTGTGAATTGAGTTATCTGAATTGCTATTTTATTGAAATTTTAGGAATATAGAGTGATTCAGAATTTATGAAAGAAAATTGTAATGACAGTTGTATAGGATAAATTCATGTCAATCGTACAAGGTGTGTAAAATTTTGAATTGAGAAAACCCAATAACGAATCTGTGATTAGAGTTCTTCAATAGCAAATTTCTGTCGTTCAAGTTTGCACCTCTTGATGAATATTGAAATCGAATTCTCAATGTAGTAAGTGCAGGCTAGATATATGGCCATCAGGTATAGCATTATGGTCAATCCATCGTATATCAATAAGTTGAAATTCCAAACGGTAGATGGTATTATGTAAATGCATCATCAGTAGATTATACATATAGTAGGATACAAACCTATACTCACCATTCGTCGCAATATCTGTCTTCCGCGAGTTTTATTGGGGCTTTTGTCGTTGCGTACTGGACATCTGAGAAAAAAAAGGTTATATTGGTAGTCAAAGTTCATCAGTATACAGTGTGACTGAGATAAAGTTGCACAACATGGCGTCGGCCAGCATACAGAAGGGCGTATCTCAGATATTATAATTTTTCAGGAGAACGATTTTAAAATTTTGATGCAGTTTGACCTTCAGTCAGAAGATTACGGTTGAGACTCTGTGGTTGTTTTTCAGTTTGGTCGATCGAAATGGGAATACAGTCAGTTGGTACTTAGTTATTATTCATAACTTTTTTCAATTTCAAGAAGAAAATAGGAAAATCTGGATGAATTTTGAGATTCGCCTCTACGTGTGCTTCTACTTTAGGCTTGTCTGTCGATTGGAATATAACATACGCCGTCTCAATATGTTAAGAAAATATATATTTATCAAAAATGAAGAAACATAAACCAGATAATGCTTGAGAAATATTAACATGAGGAATAAATTAATACTAGACGTTTGTTCACAACACAAAATTAAGATAACTCGTATGGAAGCGACCTAAAGAAGGCAATATATGCTCTTGAGATCTAACTACTAAAGTGTTTCCAGTGCAAAGTGATAACAGGATATCGTATTTGAGAGCTGATATTTTTTGTCTCTCCTTATTAAACTTTCCAACGGTCAATTTTGAAGCGGGTCACCCTTTCCTTCTACGGGTGATACTTCGGTAATATTCATGACAAGGCGATAACCTGAAATAGTGATTCTCCTAACAAGTGCGGAAAGTGATTCTTTTCCGAACGCGACTGCCGTTGATACGAATGACGCGAAGCGGAGTTCGGGCAGACAGTCATGTGCGGGAAAGACACTTTCCGCATGAGTTAGGAATAATATGTTTTCTACAAGCGTATAGGAAATTGATTGATTTGTACAATTAATTATTCATTCATATAGGAACAACTAACAAGATAAATATATTCTCTATCTACTGATTATTAGTGATAGCTATTGTGAACTTACAGTTTGACGCATTATGTATATGTTCATTGTGGAAGCCAGCAGGCCATGAGGTCTCTAGGTTTCAGACACTTCTAGGAAATGAGCCAAAAATACTTCTTCTTTATTCGGCATTTTCATTTCTTTATTGTTGCACCATTCAATAAAACGCGTGTATAGCTTCTCTTCTTGACAACAATAATCAGATCAATCCAAATCTATAGGGAGAATTTTTTAATAATCAATTTTTATTTTTCAATATTTTTTCTTAATTTTCACAATGAATGGTACAATTTGATGGATGATTCTGAACATACATACTTAATACTGCAACGAACAAACTCAAACTCTCACATTCCATCACCTATATCATTTATATTTTGCCATATTATCATACCTTTGTTTTACCCGCATTAGTGCGGGAAAATATTTCTTGCACTAGTGTCTGTCTGATCGTCCAAAGTACTGAAACATCCATCTTCATTATACTATGTTAGTTCAACTTGAAACAAAAATCAATTTTGAATTTTCCTCGATGGAAACACATACCTATACCTAATAAAATATCATCATTGACAATCACAAGAATGAAAAAAGCATCAATACAGTGTTCACATGAGGATAAAAACATTCAATAGATTATTTTCAAAATATGATGATAATCTCATGAATATTTAATTCATTATAGGGGTTCTATAACTAATCAGAATGGCGTAGCTCAATGACAAATCATGAATCATTGCACACTAAAAGGCGTATCTGAGGTCCGCCTTTTCGTCAGCTTCCATTTTATGGTTTGATGAGATACGCCAAAACTACTTCATTGAATAACACGAAGATTGAGATACGCCATTTAGAGAGCAGCTAGATTCACTGAATATATAGGTTGGGGAAGTAAATCAAAAAGTCGAAAAAAATGAGATACGCCTTTTTGTATGCTATCCGACGATGGATATCTCGAAAGAATTATAGGAGATACGAATTTGGCTTAATGTGACAAAAGTGACGTATCCAGTGGGTCATTTCAAGAGTCAAACAATTATTTTGAATGAATATGCATTCACTGTCACCTCCATCAGAACTTCTCCATAAAAAAAGTCAATAAATTCCTTCAAGTTCGTAACAAGTCATAATTTCTTAACATCAAAGAGACTATACCTATCATTCACTATACAGACCAAATTTGTGATTCATAATCGCAATATTTCACCTTGTAAATTTCCCAGCACGATTATTCAAATCTTTCTGGCTGTATTCAATATAGGTATTCAGTGGTCACTAGTCAACTTAATCAGCTAGTACACTGAGAAAAGTCTCAGGAAAAAGCTCTTTGCTGAGTTTTTTTCTCCTGTTATAGCCAAAACAGTATCAATCGTAGTAATGTCGCTTTGCTCTCACATAAAAAATCACTTTACAGAATCCATGTTACTGGTACTCCAAAAAAACTTTCTATTACGGAAAACAACTATGCTATAGGAGGAGAACTGCAATTCTATTAAATTATTTCTCCTACCTCGAAAATGTACTTTTCTGAGATAGGTAGATATCTTACTGTCGTAGTAAAGAAGTTTTCATGAATATTTCTCCATAATAACTGTGAGGCTCTGTGCTTTCCCAGCAGAGAAAATTATCATCATCAATATTTCATTTACAATAGCAGTGAAGTTATATTCTATCCCAGCAAAAAACTTAGCTGAAAGCGGTTAGGACGCGCCAAAATCGCGAGTCGGTTGGTGCGTATTTCATTTATTGCCAAACGTGCCACTGCTGCTGATCGTTACCTACCGGACATCAGTTTTTTAGTTCAGACAACGATCTCTCAGACTAGTTCATTTCATTTTCGTTTCTCCGTGCATAAGTGCATCGTATATCGTATCAGTGTTACTATTACAGCAAAGAGGAAGAGTCGAGGTCAGCAGTCACAGTGTCGCGAGATTTATTGTGTACAAAGGTGTTTTTGTTTTGTTTAGGTACTATTTGGGTACTGTTTAAATCAGTTCGAATTCGTCCATGGTTTGAGCACGTTCGTGTGAAACAATGTTCGTTCATGTTGTAGTATCTATTTGTAGTTAGTTTTTTTCCAAACTGAACTTCTCGTATTTGTGTTTGGTTGTGTGTTATGTGTATTGTGTATTCAAGTAAATTTGCAAGATGATAATTTTCAAAAACACTTATAAGTACATTTGCCTTTACTGACATCCCGAAGAAATCTATTTTTTTATTTATTATGGATGCTAGGATTTTCAAGACTGATGAAAAGTATGAATAAAGCATTTTATCACATTTTTCATAATGTGTTCCTTATTAAAATCCCCAATTCCTGAATGAATGATCTTAGGCTGAAATAGTTTCAACGGTTTAATTAGCAGAAGAAGTTAATTCTCTCACATTGAAAAAATATTTGCAAAAAATTTCTTTGGAAGTGGAATCATCACTCGTCCAACAAAACTCACTCAACTTTGAGAAAAAAAACATGGACTTTCACCTAAAAAAACTAGGATAATCAAATCCCCAAAATTTCAAAAAGTGATATTCGAATATTGAAAATATAGAAGTTTGATTGAAGTTTGCTTATCCTTGTTTTGTTGGACAGGCTGAAGTTACCATATTTTCAAAGATATTTTCAGCAAAAATTTGTTCTACTGTAAGAAAATTGACTTCCACTGACTATAAAAACACTATGCTGCACTTGGCAAGAACTTTGTTGTTCTAAAAGAGACGATATACTACAACAGCAAATATCTTTCCTGTATTAGTGATCCACTTTTCTATAACAAAATAATAAACTGGAACCTCTTTCTTGGGATAGTACAGTTACTTTCCTACCACAGCAAAGTTACTTCACTATGACCAGAGAGTGACTTCCCTACAACAGTAAAGTGACTTCCCTTCATCAGTAAAGTGCCTTTCCTACAACAGTAAAGTGACTTTCCTACAACAGTAGAGTGACTCTTCTACTAGAGGAATGTTACTTTGCACCAACGGTAGGTAATTTTTTTATAAAGTACCTCTACTGCTACAGGAAGACGGTGTCAGTAAAGTGCATTCTTCTGCAGTAGTAGACTTTGGCTGTCCCCTATGTAGCCGAAGTTTTTGGCTGTAGCAGCAGAAAAATCTGCTGTGACGGTGAAATAATTTTCTCAGTGTATATATTCTTGGCAGTTCAGTTACCCTTACTACGAAACAAGTAAGTTGCTCTGGTTTCCTGGTTCCCAGAAAAGGCTACCTAGCGACCATATTGCAATCCTATTGTGTTGCTATGAATAATCAAGATCTGGTTGAAAGGGTTGGTGAAAGAAGGTTACATATATTTGTATATATATAGTTCAAAACAAATCCACTGTCAGTGGGATCAATTGCCTTCTTGACGTGAAGTATTATCTTAGTCTCTGGTTCTGGGACAAAATATCCTGATTTCAGGGGATCAATTCAATATTTCCATTTCCACCGGCCACATACCAACCTGCATATCACCAAAGGTATGTTACTGCTTCTGAGTTATATTTGTCTTTCATTGGTCTGGGAACATTGGTTTGTAATGATAATTTCTTGAGTTTTTACCCTCCTTATTTGTTGTCTCATGTTTTTGTAGTCATCAATCTCATGGTGAACTGACAGTATTCTGCACACCCTTCGTGATCGTCTGAATCTACTCGTATAACTGCTCAGTGAATGGAGCAGCCTGTCTGCAAATCGGTGAATTCGTTCCGATTTCGGTACCCACGTGAGAACTCATATACCGAAATTCCTGTGAAACACTGCATTGCGAAATGCAATATTCCAAGTAACCTTCAATAATAGTCAACTCACATTGAAAAAAACTAGACTTCTAATAATACACAGTGATCATCTCGGTATTGATTTTTAATGATTGAGAATATCTATTCAGTATAACCTTTCGGATATTTGGAACCTCATTGTTACGGTTAATCGTATTTTATCAACTCGTCGATTATTAGACTCTCACAGTTATAATAAATGATACGGACAACTCTCAGATCAGAATTTCACCCTGCCAACCTCACTCACCCCAGTTTCCCATTTCTTACTGGGTTGAAAAGTGTATAATTTTCACTACATATATAAAACGGAACATCAATCAGTATTTTTGTACCCGAGAATCTTGCTCGATCCTACAAATCTTTGGATTGAGGGTTATCAGCTCAAACCAGTGTTTGTGTAGAATTAGTACATATTGATATCAAAATTGTTACTAATCTTCTTCCAAGTTCATTAGATGTGGATAAAGCCTGGTCTACAGGTGATGAATTGCCTATAACTAGAAAAATGCAGAGGTGTTATAGGTATACCTATACCCACTTAACATGTAATGTTACAAAATATTGTCACAATATATCGTGGAGCCGTCTTCCGTGATATGAAAATACAATATCGTATCAATTTTGTTGCTGTATACGTGTTGCCATCATAACAGAAAAACATACTTTGTCCCCGAGAATCTTGCTCGATCCTGTAAATCTTTGGATTGAGGGTTATCAGCTCAAACCAGTGTTTGTGTAGAATAGTACATAACGATTTCAAAATGGTTACGAATCATTTTCCAAGTTCATTACTACTCTGTGAAATATGTCGTGTTGTGAATGGCGAAATAACAATGCCTTTCAAGTGTTGTGTTCTCTTTTGTCGGGGAAATTATGTGGGTGGTTCAAAAGTTCATGCTTTTAGTTTCCCGTTGGACGAGCCGGGATTGGCGCAGTGGAAGAGCGTCCGTCTCACGACCGCAAGGTCGTGGGTTCGATTTCCAGCACGGGCAAGAAACTTTTTTCAATATTTTATTTACGAATTAAATATTGTAAAGTTTCGGAGCATCGGCTGGGGATAGTCCTGCACGATTCGCTGTTGCGTTCCAATTAACAGTGCTGCTCCTAAAGTGGCGCATGGAGTTAGTAACAAAGCCTACACAGAACACGCAGAAAGATATGACGATGTGGTTGTGAGCATCAGAGAAGAAGTAGGACGGTGTATGTAGGTGGGTGTGGAAAACTACCAGCTGAGCGTGAGAGCGGGCCAGCTGCTTAAGTAGACCTCGGTCTCGGGGGTTAACGATGATAGTTAGCAGGCCTGCCACTGCGCACATGGTAGTGAGTACATTACTAGCCTACGTGTATGTAGGTGGGTGCGGAAAACTACCAGCTGAGCGTGAGAGCGGGCCAGCTGCTTAAGTAGACCTCGGTCTCGGGGGTTAACGATGATAGTTAGCAGGCCTGCTACTGCGCATATGGTAGTGAGTACATTACTAGCCTACAAAACACAGCTGAAAAACTCTGAAAAGAGAGCTGATGGGCGGTGCCTGAAAAGGATGTTAGCCAGCTCTCTTGAGCGAACCACATCAGTCATTGAAAACACATGGGGTTGGCAAAAAGGTCCCATTGGGGACTAGTTGCTGACGTGGAAACGTCCCCCACCAGTACCAGTACCAGTTCCCGTTGGACGAGGAGCTATCGAAAATGTGGGTATATGCAATTCACCGCTAGGATTTTATTCCATCTAAGTTCAGTAGTAAACAAAGCTTAATTTATAATGATGAATTAATAGTAGAAGACAATTACTCTCTCATAAAAAGTATAAGTATTAGAGGAGCTTTGATTGTGCAGTTAGTTTTGTATTCGTTTATTATAGTCAACAAAATCATTCCTGAATTCGAGGAAATTTCCTTGAATGTTCATAATAAACGGGTATTTATAATTCTCATTCTCAAATTTCTTTCTGAAAACGGTCATTTGCCTCGTGGCAATGAATGCAGAATTCATTCCAATGATCAAATTGC